TCGTGCTGATACAACGATCGTAAACAGCTGGATGAATTTATAGAGATTTGGGTGGATGGAAACTTCACAGAATGCTAATTAAGCAGCTCAGTTTAGGAAATCTTTTCCTCTCTGTTCAGTTTGTCTCTGTTTGTACACCCTGTGTTCCCCTCGTGAAGTTTTTGCAGAGCACTAATTCTTCATCTGATTTTCCCCCAAACTCCCCAATGCTTTCGTTCCCCACGTCTCCCTGTCACCATCCCTCTCCCCATCTCTCTTTCCGCACTGATAGTTTGTCCCAAAGGATCCCATCGGTTGTCACCAATCAAGGAAATCACTCTCAAAGAGCTACAAATAGGTCACTTATCTAATGTCTGGTCTGATCCGACAGCCGCAGACAGCCAGTGAAGTTCCTCCTATCTGCCTCGACCAACCTATTTTTAGCCTGATTAGAAGCCGTTCTATCAGCCAAAGGAAGAACGGGAGGATTGAAGATCGCAGCAGACAGACAGAGGGAGAGAGGAAGCCGAGAGGAGAACACAAATCCCCGCTTCATTCATTAGCATTCCATTCAAACGGCTCAATTGAGCAGTTGTCACTCTTGGGATTCCCAGGACTCCGAGAAGCCGTGCTTGTTCATGTATTCAATTTATTGATATAAAGACTCTTCATTAAGAGACACCAGCGAGTATGACATGTTGTCTCCGGTGGCCTTGATGTGGAATTTTAAGCAGACATGGAGGCAGAGGCTGCCGTTGTCTTCTCTGGGGGCTATTATACCAATGTGCCACTGAAGCTTTTCTGAAGAGACGGATTGTACATTAACACACACACACACACACACACACACGCAGCAGCTCTGCTATGCACATGTTCACCTGCAGAGTCATGGAGCCCACAGCAGGTGAAAATTTCATAAGCGTGTTTCCCCACATGTCGGCCCCTGTGAATTATTGAACCGAGCCGGTCCTTTTTGATCCACACACTGAAAGCACACACACACACACACAGAATTTCCTACCTGTCAAGCACTTCACTAAACACACGTAACGCGGCCACAAAGCCGCCTCTTATGCATCTTGGGGAAAAAAAATAGCAGTTGAGGAGCAGTAAATATTTCTCCCCCTCTCTATTTTGGTGATTTCTTTTTTTCTCTTTTCTTTCTTTCGTTTTTCGCTTGTCCCCATAGCTTAAACAAATTGGATTTCTTTGTCGTTTGCCTCCCTTAATTTTCTTCTGGCTTTGAACACCGAGTTCCCGACGTGTTTGTGTCCTCGGTGGATAACAAAGAGGATTTCGTAGGCACTTTGTCATTTCCAAAAGCCATGTTCTGCTCCACATGATCAGACCATTATCCAAGCAGATGACACAGATAATGAGAGCAAATGATCATATTATTTTATTATTAACCTCATAATTGCATCCTGCTGTGATTGGCAGATAGCGAATCTCGTGACTGATACGTGGTAATTAGTCTTCTACTATCGGTATAATGCTACAGCAATTATATATCTTATATGTGTGAGGCAGAGGAGCCTGAATTCAGCAGCTGATTGGGGGTTATACAACACTCTACATCACCTGCGGGGTCTACAAATGCATCTTATGTGAAATGAGCTCAGGAAATGTGACTGTGAAGGCTGCTGCACTGTGGGTGTGGGAGCACCACACTGGAAATTAAGAGAGAGGGGGGTATCATGTTCAAACAGAGAAATGTTTTATGCAGCAGCCCCGTCACCACTGAACGGATGAAGTAATTTCATTTTCATGCATGATCTGCAGCCCCACAGACCAGGGAAATTGCATAGGAGGCGAAGATAAGAAGAAGAAAAAAAAAAAAAGAGTCAAGCCTACCTTTTTCTTACATTTGACTTTGTGATTATTCCCTTGGCTAGTAACCATAGTGATGATTCCCAATTATTAAAAAAAAAATGTGCAGTTTCGTCCTCGCAACTTGACTGTGCAGCCGGAGGAAAGATTTTCTGTTATTTTTCAGATATGTGTATATTTCCGTTAAAAAAGGAGAGGTGATGCAGCGGATGATGTTATTACAATAGGATTCTGTTTGAATATATTTGTCCTTTTTTTCTCTCCAGATCATTCGCTGGTTCCGGCTTGTTAAATGTGCATCTTTCATATTCCCCCCTGTGTGGCAATATGCCAGATATCCCTAAGGTTTAAACCATCAAATCTGAGAGTGTGACAATTGACAAGATGGTCGATTAATCAGTTCGGAAAAAGCCTGTTTGTGTGGTGCCGTAGTGTGAGGCTGTGGATATCACAGTCCAAACACATTGTCACAAGCCGGATGCCGAGAAGTAAAGGAAAAAAAAAACGACCAAACAGAGGACAGATGTAGTAATTGGCTCAGGGTAATGCACATGCAAGAATAGAGCACAAGAAAACAAACAGAAAACCCAGCAAGAACCTTTCCAAGGCAAACGTAGGATTCAGGAGACAGAATAAAACCTCACAGATCAGGATATGCTGATGAACAGATCATGTATCTAACTGCTGCATTATCTGTCTTACACCCTACTGAAAACCACAGTCAGGTCTTTCTAACAGATTTTAGTATGTTAAATGTTTGGCTTCTTATTTCAAACTGACCATAATGTTTGGCGGGGGAAAACACATAATTACCACTTAGACAATACACTGAAAAGCTTGTTTCATGCACTAACCAATTATGGCACTGTTTCTTAAATACATTACATTTGGTTTCAAATGAATTATTTTCCGATCTGCTGTAGGTGAATGACGTTAAATAAGCTATGAACAATCATATACTCTTGGTTTAGTTCAACTTGTTATTGTCAATACGTGTCTTATGCATTTGGACTGGGGGTGGAAATGACTATATAAATGACATCCACTCAAATTCATTATCCTTTCTATCCTGAGGGTTGCAGTTCCTATAATTACTCTGTGTGTTTATATGCACAGTTGAGTCAACGCACAGTTATACTTGGCTATTTAATTGGACCACTGTCCTTGTTTCAGTGTACAAGCACAAGAGGTGACTGGGTTTATTTAAGAGGAGCATATCCACCGCAGCTATGATACATGGTGGCATGCCCCCATTTTGCCGTTAGTGTTTTTCTTTTTCTTTTTTTTTTCAGTTGACTTTTTTATATCATGGATTACGAAATTTGAAAGAAACATTTTTGCTTTTGACACACCACATCAATCGGTTAACTGGCTCTCTATTTTGTGCAGTTTTTTTTTTATTGAAAAAACTGTTCCTTTGTGCTTATTTTTTTCTGTTGTTATTTCTGTTGTGAACATATACCTCATAGAAGAGCACCCCTCCCAATCACACTTTCCTTCTAAAAAAATTCAGTGAGGATATTGATACAGCTGGCTCATTCTTATGTATGTAAAGGTGGCTGTCCATGAATAGTAAGGGAATGATATAGGAGCAGAATCCACCAATAGTAGAGATAAAGCCACAGCTGTCAGGTGGCTAAGGAGCGTTTTAATGATACAAAAATATAAGAACTCGGAAAAAAACACAGCCGGCTTCAAACAAGAGCAAGAAATGATCCAACAAGAACAAACTGAAGACTGGAGTAATATATGCAGAGCGAGTGATGAGGGCATTAAAATCAGGTTAGATTTCATTATTAATCAAAACCAGGTGCACAGCAGGAAAGGAAGTAAAACACAACAGAATAACAAACTTGCAGACCATGGCACAGATCTACTGAATCTCCTGAGCTTGCGAAACATTTAACATTTAATTAGTTCAATGCTCTCTATTCTATAGAGTAGAAATGAATTAGTCAGCTTTAATGGTTCGTTATACGGCGCATTGTCTATTTCTAAGGACAATGAAGGCGTTTTTTAAGCAAAAGCTGAGCTGGGAATTTATGTTAAGAAAATAAAAAGGTGATATATTAACACAACAAGCAAGCCTTCTTTTCTCAAGGTGATTAATGTGAACAAAAAAAAAATCAATAGTTGTGTGAACAGGATTTCGTTGTTTTGAAGTGTTGTGACAGGAGAGGTTGCTGTGTCACAGTAAGTCAAGACAAGAAGAAAAATTTACCTCACTGCGTCTAGATGGAAAAAATTGGAAATTAGAAGTTTAACTCTCAAAAAGAAGTATTAATATCTCAAGGTACCAATGTAAATGTCCTTATAATCACAACAAAACAGTCAATGTCCTTAAAATTACATAATTAACCCATTTTCACTGCCATACAATCTTTATTAAGCAGAAATGATGAGATAATTCCCCCAAAAATAATGTTAAAGGCTTTTTTTAAATAGTGGCCTCTCTCAATTCTCTCTCGATTGGGTATGTTTAATATATTAGTTTAGTTTTTTTTAAGGGTATAAGGGTATAAAGTGTGTGAGTCTGAAACCCAAACTCTGAAAAATGACAGCCATCATTTAGACACATGATGCAAAATGCCACCAACTTACCAAGGGTGACATGTCAGGGCCACATGGTTCTATCTCCGCATTTTGCAAAGCACTGGAAACAAATGTTGAAGTTCTATCACACGCTGAAACCTGAATGCTGAATGCATCACCCAATTAAGCGTCACATTCTGAGTCTGCAATGAAATAACAGCCGAGGGGTTAAAGGTGGAACAGGCATCTTTAGACTCGGCTGTTAATAAAAGCATGAATCAGTTTAGCTTTGTCTTGAAAGTTCGTCATCAGAGGAATCTGTCTGCTGAGCGAATGTAAAGAAAACTCAAAGGGTGTCGCGAGAATTGTCCTACCGGATATCTCTCTCCTTCTTTGTATGGTTTTCACAGCTTTTATTTTTACACTGCGTTCAAAGTGGAGGCATAAAGTAAATCTTTCTGTGGGAAACTGATCATCAGGGTGTCTACCAGACATCCCACATACGGACTTTTCTCTTTTATTTTACTTTGAAGTTTATGTCATAAACTGCGCTCTGAACATTTTGTTCTTCTTCTCGTGCAGGAAAAGCGGGAAAAGCTTGGGGGTGTGAAAGAAATCCATATGTTCTTCCTCAGTTCTTCCTCTGGTTTTCTCCTCAGATCCGGTCCGATCAGGATAAGGACGTCGGCATCCGCTACAGCATCACGGGAGCAGGTGCCGATCAGCCCCCCAGTGGCATCTACAACATAGATCCCATCAGCGGGAACATGTTCGTCACCCAGCCCCTGGACAGGGAGGAGCGGGCCTCCTTCCATGTAAGGAAACTTCATCGCTTTGTCTGTTTTTCTGCGTTTTTTCCCCCCTTTTTTTCACATTTATGTGTCTGCCAGAGCGCATTTAGCTGAGCTAGTCTGAGCTCCAGACTGTACTGATGTCGAAGCGGGCAATGAAACGAAATAATGTTTCCATTCTGCCACTTAAACTGCCATTTGCATGCAGGTTTTAGCTGCACAGAGCAGAAAAAAAAGTACGGGTGGCTACAGAGGGAGAAAAGAAAAACACAGAACCAAGGTGGACTGTTGGAAAGCTGTTGTTTCTGTTCTCCCCATCAGAGCTAATGAGCAGATGCAGCTTTTATATATGTGTGTGTGTGCACATCTGTGGCTCTGGAAAGACGTGCACGCGAGTGCATCTGTGGACCGGGTATAGATAAATAAGATAAATGTTTGTTTAGCACCTTTTCGGAAGCTCAGGTGCTTTCCTTTTCCGTCCCCTCTCACTTTCTGCAGATGCATTGAAAGCCTCACTCATCTCCTAATGCACTCGTCTCCTCCGAGCAGCTGTTCTGAACAATGGAGCTGGCCGACAGATGTGCGGTTAGCCCGCGATCGGCCCGTGGGCTTTATCTATCCCACGTGCACGCGCACGCATTCACCCACAACAAGCTGGAGAGCGAGTTCACGACTGGTTATCTCTCTCTGGAAAGTCAGGGTTAAACAGCTCCATGGATCTTGGAATTAAATATGCAGACCACAGGAGACCCCACGGCTAACGCTAGCCCGTTGGTTCATTCCTGCTTAAGGCTAACACCTGCATCTGAGGTGTGTGTGCTGCTGTTGCTCTCCCTGCAACCTCGTGCCTGTCAGCGTGATAGATGGCCGCGCCGCCGATGGAGCTAATTTAACCGCACGCTCCCGTTTGTGGAGCAAGGGTAGAGGATGAGGGACAGTGTGTGAGTGTGTGTGTTAGCCACTTCTGTGTCCTCTCTCCCGTTTCTTTATTAGGATCAATAAAGCTGGCGGGTGATCGGTCCCCGGAAAAAGGACTGGCAACTCCGTAAACGGTCCTCATTTCACAAAGCAATGTTTGGTTGTGCACCCGAGCGAACCTCTTATTTAGACTCAGCACATCCGCGCTGCCTGCCATTTGATATATGATTTAGAAACAAAAAGAACGAAGCCAGGGTTTGACCCCGGGGAAATGTAGTCCACGGCTTACTTTCCTCCAGCTTTGACATGAAGTTTCCAGCTCTGCCGCGCACTTGTAGGCCAAACTTTGCTTGTTAGTTTGGGGTTCAGGAGAAAAAGAGAGGCAAGATTGCTGTTTTTGACAGACTAGCACCAGGGGGGGAAGTGATCTTTGAATGCAGAGGGGTGAGTATTAGCATGAGTTTCAGCTTTGTCAGACAGAGCTGTCGCAGGGCACAAGGAAATTTGAGCAACAGTGAAGTGTTAATTGACTCTATGAGTGCCAGCCCCCAGGACACAAGGAGAACCTTTGTCATGTTCGTGAGTTGGCTAAATTTGTTGCCATAGGATCAGAAATTGTTATATAAGATATTTATAGTGGCTTCAACTGTTGCATTTTCAAAGAACTGGTTCACATTTTATGGACATGTTACACACAATATTGGTTAATAAGAACAAACGAATAGCTGCCAAAAACAGAACAATCAGAGAGTATTTTCATTTTGTTTCCTGTTAGAGACCAATTTTCTGCTTATGTAGGCTAAAGTGCACTACTGGATGTAAAGCTGTGGACAAACCATACAATTTTTCACTTTGCCTTCTGTATATGGTCAATTCTGTTTGTGTCTTATTCTTCTTCAAGGTTTCTCGGCATTTTCCTATTTTGGGAAAATAAGGGGGGTGGGAGAGCGGGGGTATTTTGAATATCTAAGAAATTATAATTGGTCATTATGAAGAATTGATGGTAGATTTGACTGCTAATGCCCAGAGTGACCACCAGATTGATCACAAGTCACTGGATCACAAAAGTTAGCTCAAATGTGAAAAAGCACAAAAGCAAAAGACACGCAAAAGTACACGCAAGGACATGCAAACAGTGTGGAAGCTCGTTTTGTGGAGAGACTGTTGAAGAATTACAGTTCTAAACACTTATTGTGTTTTATTCAAATTTTTATTCAAACTGTATGATTAGCATCAAATTTGCAATTTTTGCTTCTGGATGTCACTACATCCTACACCCTGGACCTTTAAAAGCAAAGTCTCCTCAAAAGTCAGTGGATCAGTCATTAAAATGCATTCTTCTGCAGATTTAGTGCCTCTAAAGGCATTCACTTTTTTTTTAAAGGCTAACAGGTGGAACCACAAGACCAACTAAGTCATATGAAATGCAGAAACATTCAATTACATGAATAGATTTTTAAAAAGGACACGTATTTTGTATAGATGCAGGGGGCAGTGAAGGAAATAATGTTTGATTACAGAAAGAGAAATAAATTATCTAATACAACATTCAATTGCAAACTCATACAGTACCACATAGCAATATATTGGCTTTTCGACCTAATGGGGGTAAATATAGACTGTATTTCTCCACTGAAATTGGTCCAGTTATCCCTAAAGCTCACCTTGGAGAATGCTAATGTTGTTTTGCATACATATATTTGCAATCTGTTCAACACACGCTCCTTGGGGCCCTCAGATCACATTTCCACAAACCCCGCCTGCTGAGTAGAAAGACGTGGAGAGGCTTCAGAGAAAACACACACAGAGATGCATGTTTATAAGGAAAGACGCGAGAACGTGCAAAAACACACAAAAAAAAAACAAACGCGCTGGCAGAAAGGACAAAACACACAGAAGCACCAACTTTAAGACAAACCCGAAAACACGCGTCGATATCACACATTGGCGCGCACACACACACACACACACACATGCATCGTGGCAGCCATAAATCCTCCGCATGCAGCCTTCACAGCTGAGAAAACAGATTGGGCCGGTTTGTTTTGTCGGGTCTCCTTTTTTCCCTATTTGTTTGCTCTGCTTCAGCCAATGGAAAACCTACATCTTGAGGATCATTAAGGGGGCTAAAGAGGGCCCTTTTTATCAGCCGTGTGTGCCTTCCCAGCATGCATCCTCGTGTTTGTCAGCGTGTTAATGTGCAGAAACACGGGGCATAGCTGCTGTTCCGAGGATTGTGAGGAAGCCCGGGCAGAGGGAGTGGTTTTGAAATATTCTCGAAACCCGGGCACAAAAGCCTAAAAATGATTAGTTGTGTGTTGGCGACGGCAGGTGCTGCCATTCAGCGCCTTTATGTCGGCGTACAATGCATCAGCGTCTCCCGTAAACAGCCCGACGGGCAGATCCTCCTCGATTGTGTGCAGACAAAAATATTTGGCCGTCAGCATGTTGGTTTTGGCCAGAATGGGAGCCCTCCTCCATTTACCAAGCCAAGTCGAGTTTGAATAAACGTTTCAGCCGAGGATATGAATTTTAGGCAATTGAATGAGAGGGGATATCAGTCGGAGGGAACAGAGACGGCCTGGTTCCAGGGCTATTGCAAAGCTTTGCCTGGTTCTAGATATCATTAGCGGGTATTGGTGGGGAGACGGGGGTGTGCAGATTAAGACATCCCACTGTAGATGATGATTGCTTTTGTCAGTCCCCCCCTGTTCCAGCCCCCACTCCCCCACGCTGCCGCTTTGTATTTTCATCTCTCATTTATTTGCACAAGACTCAGTCACTCTCCTCTCCCGGTTCCCATCTTATGCGCTTTTCTTCCGCTCCCCTGTTTTTTTTTTTCCCCTCTTCCCTTTTTTCTCCTTTCACTGTTCCCTCACGCCGCATTGCCAGGAAACAGCTCATCAGACGGAGATATCCATCCAAATGGTGGGCTTTGTCAAAACAAAACCAAGACGTTTTCCCCTTGAACACAAAAAAAAAAAAGAAAAAGAAGAAGAAGAAGCCACAGCTTGAGCAGCAACACCTCTCTGATGTTTTTCGGGCCTCTGGCTGTGCTAACAATAAAATAGGTGTTGTTTGTCTGTCTGGAACGTCTCAATATTACGCCCCTCCCTGTGCCGATGCGGTCCACGCCAAGATACCCACAGGATGCTCGCGCCCTCATTGGCAGACCAGCAACCGGGCGCTCGCCGGTTGAAATGAATTAGCCAATAAACAAAGTCAAGGTTTTTGTTGTGCGTGTGAGTTTGTTCCAGTCCCCTGGAGCGTGCGGAGCCTTTGATTAATCATACCGACGACTTGTCAAAGTTAGATGAGCAACAGTATATTTGGAATATTCGCCGAAGTCTCACTTTCTGAATACAACTGACGTAATCTATCTCTCTTCTTTCACAGCTGCGCGCCCATGCAGTGGACATGAATGGAAACCAAGTGGAGAACCCCATCGATCTCTACATCTATGTGATCGACATGAATGACAACAGGCCTGAGTTCCAGAACCAAGTTTATAACGGCTCAGTGGCCGAGGGCTCCAAACCAGGTAAAAACGTCAAACACTCCGCAAAGGTCCTCAGAAATCCCTGATCATACACATGTTTACCAGTTGCTCCCTGGAGGAGTTTTCATGTTTCAAACAAGGACGCTTTCTGGCAATAAAGAAGCCATAAAGCGTGCTTGAAGTTGCAAAAGAGCGGAGATCAAGATTTTGATAAAGATATGTGGAAAAGAGTCGTGTGGTCACTTGTGGTTTCCTGATAACAAAATAATATCAGTTCATAAGAATGAATTCAAACACATGCCTATTTGCAAGTGTCTATAATGTTACATCTTCTTATTTCTGCATCAGGTGATATTGAATTATTGAACAAATGACACTAAACATCCAATTTAGTTTCTTTTTTTTTCTATTTTGGGTGTGTACCAGATATCTCAGAGGCTGTGTCTGCCTGAATCTGAATATATGGACAATATATTTAGGTTTTTAGCTAGGTCACATGATTCAAAGATTTAGTCGTTTAATATAAAGGCAGCTCTTGATTTAAAAAAACACATCAGACTTTTACAGCATGCATGAATCACATTGTTATGCTGATACATCACATGTGATTATGAACATTAAAACAAATAACCTGGTCCTTACCTGGCCTTTATGTCAGTACAACTTCAAATTAAACATAGTAAACTAATTAAACTGAACAAATAAGTGCAAAACACCTTTATGGCAGCAGAATCTTTGGCCCTCTGCAGATGGGAGCCTGTGGGCGTATTAATATTCCCTCAAAATGGAACGTGGCGGAACACCTCAACGTGATCAAAGCGCTGTTAGGGCTTTAAGAGAGCCGTGCATTATTAAAAGCTCGCATACTTTAATGAACTGAAGCAAAACTGTGAAGTGGGCCAAAAAATCTTCCAGACAGATGACATCATACAAAAAACAGGCACCATTATTTTTAGGTTATGAATTGGAGACTAAACTCCTAATTACACCAGGTTTTTAACCTAAGATGATCTATTTCAGTAACTTTTTCACAAAAGTTATGGGGAAGGAACATATTCATCTATAAGTATATGTTCTTATTTTTCATTTTTACTGGTTACTGAGCCTACAGTTCAAGCTAGGCTAATATTTCTTTTAAGGGAAGGCTTAAAATAATGAACACCATTAATTGCACAAAACAAATGCTTCCATCTACGGCTTCCTGATTGCATCTACCTGATAGTTTAGCCAATTAAATAATGGCTCACCACTCTTCAGAAACCCCCCCAAGCGAAGCTTCAAACGACTCCGAGTTTACGGGGTCTGTGTGACTGTTTCCTGACTGGATGCATCATTATCAGATGCTTCAGAGCATGGAGAGATGCGAGCCTTCCCCTCAGAGTCAGGGATCCGAGCTGCGGTCAGCGCCAGGCCAGAGACAGGAGGAGAATCCTCAAGTACTTCTCAGGTCTCAACAGGAAGAACTCCAGTTCTAACAATCAGACCCTAAGGACTGGTGTTTGTCTTCCCGGCGATCAGATATTGTTCTGCTGCAAAGTTTAATCTCAGGGGGATTTGTAAACAATAAATGAAAGCGGGGAAGAGAGTACGGGATCGAGTGTGTGTGTTTGCATGTAGGTTTGCGTGTGTGTGTGTGTGTGTGTGTGTGTGTGTGTGTGTGTGTGTGTCGGTGTGAGCGCCAGTTACTCCTCAATGGAGCGTGGGTCTATATACAGAGCTCCTAATTAGCAAGGGCAACCAGAGATTCCAAAAGCTACTTTCTTTGTTTTTTCAATCTAGAGACTCGCAGCGTGATTTAAAAAGAGAGCAGGCGCAACAAAAGTGTTTGAATTCAGCTTTTTGTATGAAGCAGAGTGAAATCCGTGGTTCTAATTAACAAAAACATTATTCTGTATAGATGATAATTGCTCAGCTCTTGACTGAGCAATCACAAGTTACGCTTGTTTTTTTGGAGCACTTTTTGTTGTGTGGGATTCACCCCTTTTTGTCTCCCTTTTACTGAGTCGTTGGTCTCTGAACTGTTGCATTTTGATTAGGAAAAAAGACATTGTGTTTGCCGAATTGCCTTTTTTAGTTGTAGAAAAAAAGATCAGTTGTGATTCATCTTCAGCAGAGTTTCGAGTAGACACCGTTTTTATACTTTTCCGGGCCATTAAAGCCTTTAATGCATCCTCTGCCAGTTAAATCTTTTACTTACTATTAATGGACCCAGTTTAGACCTCAAGTTAAGTGCCTCACGGTTTAGCTGAAGTTGGAATGCAGCCCTGCAGTTAAAGAACACAGCTAAATGGAAGATATGCTTTGAAGCTGCATTATTAATATCAATTCTGTGGCTATTCTCTTTCATGTATTTTTCTTCAATTAAATGAATCGTCTTTTTATCAAATCATATTAACAAAGGAAACAAAAGAAACACTCACTTTTAACTAAATAACCTGCAAAGTAAGACAAAGGAAATCTGAGAGTCTCCGAGGCTCAAATAGCACTTCATTTTGGGCTGGAAGTGACTTGCAGTAAGTAGATATTTTTCACTCCCACTCTTTATAAGACCTCAAATGTACCGATCTAAGAGAATTATTTGGCTCCAACTCAGCTTTTCTTTTTAACATTAATCCACTAAGATTCTACTTTGTCACGGAACACTTGAAAACACACAAATATTATATCAACTAATTTGGTCTTTTTTTTAAAATCCCTTTTGTTTTTTATCTTTTGGCTTCTTGTCTTAATGTCTTAGTGAATTTATGTTTCTTTATCAGTGTTAGTTTATTCTCAGCTGTACTGGATCACTGGTAGGTTTTTACAGATAGTTAGTTAAGCTGTATTTGCATGTGGCCTGAAAGAGTTTAATATCTTGCGGGCCTTACCTTGGAGGGTGCGTTTCTTTTGCCACCCTGGCAGCGGCTTAAACAGCGCCGACAGATGCTGCTCCGGGCAGCCATGCTGCTGGACACAATTATCTCCCCATGCCCACAGTAGATTGGATCAGTGATGGAACATTGAAAATATCAATTAATGCTGTCACCTAATTATTCAAGCGCAAACATTTTTAATTAGTTTGCAGGAAAGTTTAGGATTATGACAAATTTGCACTTTTTTTTGGCTGGAATGTTAAACAAAAGCTAAACAAAAGACCATCTGACAGCTGAATAAATTTAATTTCTGTTGCCTAGTAATACAATCAAGCAAAACTTATTATTTGCTTGATGCGCATGGACACGGTGACAGAAGTTTATCTTTGCTTCTCGCATAGCGTCCATGTTTTCACCTCGTCTCTTTGGGACTCACCTGCCTCTGTACTCGGCAAAACCTTTCGCTGTGTCGATGTCGTTTGTTTGTTTGTATGCAAAAAAAAAAAGTTAACCTTTTGACAAATGTGTGTCACGGTGACAAAATGCCGTTGTATCCAGTCAAACTCCATGCCCCTCTTTTTTTTTTTCTAAATGCCATGCCCCCCCCCGCCTGTTAAGCCTCACTTTCAGTATTAAAAAAAAACAAATATCAAAGGTTCTCTGAAGCATCACAACTCATTCTCATATCCAGCACAGTGAGAATGTCATCAAAGAGGAAGACTTCCAGCGAAGCGGCCTTATCAACATCGCCAGATGCAGGAGCAGATTCAATCACGCTGCACCAGTTTGAAATAGCTCCATTTGTCATTTTTCTGCCAACAGGCCCAAGCTAGACAACAAATAAACCTGTGGATAATGTGATTACTATTTATTCTAGATATAAAGTGGCGCATTACGATTATTCGCTGCTAATGAGGAATAAATTAACTTGAGTCTGAAACTAAGAGGATTATGCAGAGAGAAATGGCTAAAAAAGACAACTGACCACTGAGAGGTGGTCATCTGGTGCTCAGGAGTGACATGCTGAAGCAATGTACAGACTTTTATTCATACACACTGAAAAAGTACTCCTAAAATTCCAATGGGACCAAATGAAAGGTGACCAAAATCATTTCATACTGCTGAAATGTAACAATGCCTCAGATAGAGATTTGTTGAGTTATGTTCTGAGAACATTAACGCTGGGAGGTTTTTGTCAGTCTCCCTACCTCCTCTTACCCTCCAAATATGACAGCAAGTTATTGCCTTTTACGGGCCCGTCTTCCTCAAAAGGGCTCTATGAAATAAGAGCGCAGGATCAAAAACCTTCTCTTACAGACGATTTCCCCTCCCTCGGGAGGCTGGGGACAGAGGAAGTGCTTTTTTCTGCCTCTCCTCCACCAGTTGCAGAGAGATTTAACAAACGTTTTATCTCAGTCAGGTTTGGAAGGGGGGGGGGGGCAATTAGGGACGAGTGGAGGAGTGGGGAGATGGAGGGATGGAAGTAAATAAAACAGTTTCAAGGCACTTTACACTTTGGTCTTTAGAGGCAGGCCGTGCTTTTGTGTCACTCCAGAAAAAGCCCATCAGGGTCATATCAATATTTAGTGCACTTCCACCACAATTTAAAGGGATGTCACTTTTTTTTCCACAGTTTTATCTTAAAGTAAGCTATTTTGTAGCAGACAGTCGGTTTTTTGTCTTGTAATAGGTTTTCATCTGGTTATTTTGGGATATTTCTTATATGTTTTTTTCATTGGAAAGCTATCAAAATATCATCAAATGTTAACACGTTTGTTGAATAAAACAATGATTTTTATCTCTCACTGGAATGGCAAGAAACATCTGGTTTTCAAGGGCAATTCACAATATCTGTAACATTTGTTCTAAAAAAACGTGGAATTGTCCTGGGTAATTCGGCGGCGTTGTAGTCCTGCAGCTATGCCCGTCAGCTTTCAGCTGCTTTTCTGACAAGTCACGTTTTCCTTCCAGTTGAGATGGCAGCGAGCTGTAAATAGTGCGATGCCCCTGAGCCTTGAGCAGATTCTGGGTATCATGTTGATTGTTTTTTTTTTTGTTTTTTTCTTTCCCCCTTTCCGTTTTGAAATAGTCTCCTGTCAGGAGACAGATCCTCCACTCTGACAGGACTTTGTTGAGATTCAGGTGATATGCACATTCAAAAGCCTTTGACGACCTGCAGTTACCCATAGCATCAGTTTTTTTATGAGGACCAAAAGAAATATTTATGTGTGTTTCCCTAAAATTCCAGATATTGTAAAGAATAGGAATATGAAAGCAGAAAATATGCATTTCTTATCCTGATGTCACAGTAGGTTCTGGATTTTTTATGATAAGTATTCGTTGTAATTAGTAACACAAACTACTTCAATGGTGATAGTTTGAATGAAAGGTTGTTGGGAATTGTAAGTGTGCTTATTTACAGGTTTAGCTCAAAGATAACTTTTCAACTAATAATTTTATGTACAAATAAGGTTTTATGTTTTATATACATAAAATAATTGTTATGCATCATTTTTATCTGTAAGCCCAATAGTAGGCTTAAAGGTTGAAAGGGCATTTAGACTCCATCAAGGCAGACAGTGATTTTTTTTATTTTATGGTCCATCGTGGATAGCTGGAAAAGTTTGGAAGTACATACCATCTAGAAGGAGAATGACAGTACAAGGGACATGTAAAAGAAATGGAAAAAAAAATGTCTGGATGAGAAAGCAAACAAGACAACCACTGGAGCACAGCAGTGCTATTTTATTGTGGAAGGTTTCACATTATGCAGCCACAGTAAGAGGCAGGGAAGCAGTTGGGACAAAAACTAAGTGGCAAGAAAGAGGCTAAGTAGTGGCCAAGATCTCACAAACTGTTTGGGTTATTAAAACTGAAATATAACTGGACCCCACTTTTACAATAACTGCTTCTTACATGCTAATATGATCCTTTCAACGGACTCACCCCATGGTAGATTTCAACTTTTATATCTTCAATAGCTTTTAGACATGTAAGTACAATACACACACACACGTATATATATTTATATACCTGCTGACATCATCCTGCTCTGCCTCACAAAATCTAAAATAGACATTTTACGGATGTATTGATAGGTTGAGTAGCTCTCACCGTGGCAGGTTAACTGATGTGTAAAATCACCGAAGTGCTTCTTTAGAGTACCAGCTAATGCATCTGCTAATGCTGATAGATGATTCAACCAGGACAAATTTGGACCTATTCAATCCCTGGAAATACTCCAGCTGCCATTTGCCTACCATTGTCGGCGCAGAAAATGTTTTTTTTGCTTGTTACTGCAGCTGCACGCACAAACAGCGATGGCTAATGTGCTGCGAGGCGAGGAGCAGGGCGCAAAAAATGGACGCCTTTGACCTGGCCTTTGCACCGGTTTCGCAACTGACTTGTTAGTCTTTGAAATTTCCCGTTGGCTGGATGATGGTCCTTTGTCTTCACAGAATACGCGCTGCCATTACAAAGCTCTAGTATAAAATCCCAATGTCCTCTCAATCACCTGCAACAAGATTGGTCAGAATTGGTCAGAATTAAGGGGGTTACCCTTACCTTTCTTACATCTCAACCCTCTGCTAATCTCTGATACTGTTGACACTCGTTTTCTGTCACTGTGGAGTCCGTCTCTGTTATCTTTCCATTCCTGTTCTTCCCGTTTCTGCCCATTTTCTTTTTCCTTTTTTTTTCTTTTTTTTCTCCAGCGCCTCCCTAATTGTTAGGAAGACGTTGACTCTGGCTGATTAATGTTTAGGTAGCAAATAGACCTTGCCGATCTCTTGTGACGTGAGCAAAATGTCCCTTCAATGTATGCTTCTCCCACCGAATTTTCAGGTCCAGTGATTTTGGCAGAAAAGCAGGATTTGGAATTAGTGTTCAAATTAAATCAGAATTACGCAGGCTCAGTTTAACCCCTCACAGGCATAGCCGCTATTGTTTGGACCTGAAAACATCCCTTTGTCGTATCTGTGAATCCCCCAAATGGAAATTAAAGCTAGCTGCATCAACAAGTGGTTCATCACATTCTGCCCCCCCCCCAACCCATGGGACGGGAAAGGTGAATCATATATTGACACTGCCCTGTGTGCTGTAATTGTTTTTCTTTTTCTTGTCTTTCCTTTGACTCTCTTCTTTTCCTTTTCTGGCCAAAGTGACAAATCCTGCTTTGAAACTTAATGAAGTTTGAAATAGAATTTGAGGCTACAATTATCCTGTCCACGCAGGCTGTCAGTGGAATGATGGTGCCATCGAAACCCAATTATAGGAATGGAGACACATGTAACTGCTCAGACCCACAGGGGGAACACCGAATCTGCAATCCATCCTCCACTTCAGGGGAAGCGTTTGGATGGTTGAGAAAAAAAAGTTTCACTTAAATTATTTATGTACATCAATCAATCAATTAAAGTACTTTATTCATCCCACAAGGGGAGAAATTCCCTTGATGCAGCAAGCAACAACACACTTCTTTTTGTGATGAGATAGATCTCATTGGGGAGTAGCACCCTGTTGGGGTTCAAATTCAAATCCCCGGAGAACTGAGACCTTTCTGTGTAGAGTTTACACATTGCCCCTGTGTCTGCGTGGGTTAATGCATGTTAGCTTAATCTTAGCAATGATGTAACTTTAGCACGTATGCATTAGTTGCTAAGCTACTGAATTCCATAAATCAAAAATAACATAACAGAAAGATAATGATTTGATGCTAAAATCCAACACCTTTTGGCAAAGATGCCAAAAGTACTGACCCGTCTCCTTTTATTTCGTTTTTTTCTTTGTTGTTTTATGGTCCTGTCCTTTCCTTTTTCCTGATCTGCTTCTTGCCTGGACTTTCTTCCAGCGTGCTTGTGCGTCAGCCACATCCTCTCTGCAACGTTCCCCTCCTGCCAGCTGACACTTCTTTTTCTCTCTCGGCGGCAGCAGCAACAGCCTGTAAATGGCTGCCTGATGGAAAGTGACATTTTCACAGAACCCTGAGAGAGAGGCGAGGTGATCTCTCCTCTTTCCAGCACAAAGTGCTCCTAATTGCCCGGTCGCATTTGTGAGCCCAGCTGACAAACTGGAGCAAATCAATAATTCTGCGTGGGGACGCGGGGCCTATCCCCCCCCCGCTGCACTCTGAGATGACACAAACAAGCGCATGCATACAAATGCACAAATGCGCCTGGGAAAGAAATGTACACAACATATATTTTGTTCCAGCACACACACACACACACACACTCGCAAACGCCGTTGCACTGCTGTCTGCCTTTAATGACGGTGTTTATCTGTGATTCTAAGACAAATGGGGAGAGAGTATCAAAGCATTAAGAGTGGCCGAGGCTCCGCTGAAGGCTGAAATAATGGATGGTGGAAATGGCAGAAGACCCTGCACTGCTCATTACTAAATGGCCTCTGCAGAGGTGGAGACTCTGCCCCCAAAGACAAATCGGCAGTGCTTTATAGAAGGAGCTTATTTAACTTTCCTTTTGTACGCCGCCCTTTAAGAGCATTCGCTCTAAGAGTTGCTTTCCCCGAACAAAGAGTGCCACAGCAATTTGTAAAGCCTGATTGAGTTTTTTCAGGTTTGCGAATTAGTTTTTTTGTCTTATGAGTCCCTTTTTTATGTCCTACAAATGTATTAATAGAAGAGAGCTTCCAAAAAACCTTGATTTAGCTCTTTTTCTGATCTGTGGGTTCAAGGAGTCTTGTGAAGCTTTTCTTTTTAAAATTTCAATTAAAGTGTCTTGCTTTTTTTTCTTATTTTCTGTTTCTTTTTTTTTACTTGTGTGCCAGGTTGACCTCTTCCAGTGCCTGCACTGCAGATTTTTCTGCTTTAGCTCGCTCAAAGTCTTGGGACCTAACTCGTCTTTCTCCCCTCAGGCTCCTCGGTCATGCAGGTGACGGCCACGGACTCGGACGACTCCACCACGGCCAACGGCATGGTGCGCTACCGCATCCTGTCGCAGACGCCCCACAGCCCCATCCCCAACATGTTCACCATCAACAGCGAGACCGGGGACATCGTCACGGTGGCGGCCGGCCTGGACAGAGAGGTCAGTGTTGTTCCGGGCTTTTTCTGCTCACCTTCATTCGCTCCCTCCCTCCTCCCTGGCTCGTTTGCTCACACTCGGTCATTATTAGGGGGTTGCAGGATAGTCTGCCATTCTTACTTGTAAAATATCAAATTTGCGCATAAACATGTCGATAAACTTTCACTGCCTGCATGCTTTTCTTATACACCCTACACTGTCCACTGTTTTCTGAATTCACAGGTGTAAAAAAATGACCCAGTAAATTGCCTGCATAATGGAAAACTCCCCCTAACAGAAATCTCATTCTAACCTCTGAATCTACGTGTCGAAAAAACAAACGTGAAACGTAGTCATTTTAAAAAAAATAGAATAAAAAAAGACGGGGGGGGCATATTCAACATTTCTGAAGAGCTGAGATAATGGCCACGTAAATCCAGCGTCTCTCTGCCCGCGAGGGTCGAAAGAGGGTTCCTTTGATTGCCCTCTTTTGTCTCGTCCGTGTCTTTTATAGTCGTTCGCCAACCCACACAGCAACATGCACCGCCACCCTGCGCCATCTTCCATCTTAGCTTGCTAATGAGGGAGGTCAGGCGGGGTCAACTTTTGTTTATCCCGAGCGGTGTCAGTGGTAACTATGGGCAGCATAGAAATATACCCACAGAAATATACAGTCTGTCTGTCTGTCTGTCTGTCTGCACACCTGGCAGAATCAGGATCCATTTGAATTCATGTGGCGTCATGATGAGGACATTCTCGTCCTCATAACCTAGCTGGCTGATTTTACAGCGGACATAAATGCACCACTCAGTGTGCCTCATAATGTTTATATTCTGAGGAGTTCCACCGGCCCCCTCTCGACACTAAACCTTGCCAGGCAACGCTTTGGACACATCAGCAGGATTTGACCAACTGGAAAAAGCGAACGCATTTAGGGGAACGATTACTTCAAAGATCTCTACAACAAAACCTGCTTTCAACCAAAAAAAGACAATACGCTACATCGACGCTTCTTCCTTATTCAAATTTCATGTGGCTCTGGCGTGCCGTAATAGCGTGGCGCATTTGCGGGACAATATAGATGAGTCTTGTGAATGCGGGCCAGAACCGTGTCCCTGTTTCCAGCTTGGCTCAGACAGTTGGGTAGCAGCTGACGCCAGCGAGGAGAGGCTCATTAATCTGGACACATCGAGCCAGGCGCAGTCCCACCTGCCTGTGATCCTCCCGCTAAAACTGGGACACACCTGGGAGTTCACCCGCCTGCTGTCGAGGTCATCCGCAAAAAACAGGGCTCGCCGCGGCCACGAGCGAACGCACTCCCCCCCCCGTAAAGACGAGACGGGCGAGATGTCAGGTGTCACAGCCAGAGGATCGTGTCAAGTGACATAGAAAATACTCTACAAAACATGTATGTGTAATCTGACTCCTCTCCCACGCTTTAGCTAGTCAGCCTCCCTACATCCGCCTCATTGGAACATTCCTGGGCTAATTAAAGAGGTGAGGCAGGTCCTTTCATGTTGAGATGAGCAGGGGGTAGGTTGAGGTCAGCCTGATATCATTTAGCTCCGGCGTTACTGAACGCCAGTTGTTCTGTCGCCTGCTGACCTCTGACCTCGTACGCTGTGACGTGCTCTGGTGCATAACCAACAGGCTAACCAGCAATCCGCATCCGCCCTTTGCTTCCTGAATTAAAGCCTCATAAGGCCCAAGCTTTTATCTAGTGTGCATTTTTGCTTTCTCAGAGATATATGGGAGTATTAGAACCTAATAAGTTTAACAAGTAGACTCTGTAATGATCCAGGAAGTAGTTTTTCCTCATATATGGACAGTGGGTTTATCTTTGTGCTTGTGTTAAATGCAATGTGTATTTATGGATGAAAACGTTTTCTTTGCAATTTGGTCCTGAAGGTCCACATGACTTAATGACTAAATTTAACTACACAATAAAAACATGATTGATTGAAAACGTACAAATCCATTTTATTTTAGATTTCAAACATTAGATTTAGATTTAAAACATTAGAGTCTAATAGTGTCTACTCTCCGGCCAATTGGTCAAAGTTTTAAGCATCATGGTACAGAGGCAGCGGGACGGGTAACTGAGTATATTTATTTATCTTTGGTTTTGACAGTTTTCTAGATATTTATTCATATATATGCTGAACCAAAAGAGGATGTATCTGTCAGTCTGCGATGGCGCAGACATGCTTCAAACGGAGCCCGGCTCTGATGCAGCAGGTAGCAGAGTGCCACAGCTGGCGTGGACGCTCTCCCTCCCTTTGCGCCCTTTCTCCACGCCAACAGTTCCATTGGCAGACAGAGCTGTTGTCTCTCATCACCCCAGGCTGCACTCAGTCCTCCCAGCTTGGAAGCGACTGGTGTGGCGTTTTCCGGCACCAAGCTGTCCCCCCGGGCTGAGTCCAGCTCTATACTGGACGCTCTCGCCGTCGATTAGGACATCGCATGAACCGCCTCGAGGACATGAACTGCCCACAGCCGGGCGTTATTAGGATGTACACGGTTCAACCAGGGACGGAACCTGCATTCTAAATGGGCCGGGGTTTTTATTGTCTCAGAGATGCTGAGTTATGTTAATATTGCCTTATTTCACTGGAGCTCCAGGGGCCAGAAAACAAAAACCAAGGCAGGATTGTGAGGCGGTTGCTGAATGAGGAGTATCCATGCATGTAGGTGGATGTTTACGGCTTAGAGCCAACATTTAATCAAGAAAATACTTATTTAATATCCTCTTCCTAATTTGCACTATGTGATTTAAATTAATACCTGACTGCACTATTTCTTATTTCTTATCCTTTTTTATTGCAAGTTCTTGTCTTTAATTTCATATTCAATAATTTATCCATGCCTCGCTGTAATTTGTTATTGTTTTCACGTTACCACATACTGTACATATATTCAACCTGAATTAATATCAGAAGCCATAGAGATACGAGAAAAAGTGTTAACACAATGTTTGCTGCTTGAGATCAAGGTGTAAATAAATCTGATTGTTCATGCTAATAAGTAACAGTATATAGACTTTATTAGCAATATAGAATTTATGTTAGGTCCAAATACTCACATTTCAAACATTCATAGTTTTCTTGAACTGGAAGATTCACATTAAAAAGGTTTTCCGAGCTAAACCTTCCTCTTTTATGTGGTGTGGGTTCCTTTATCATCCTGGCTGGTGATGCACTACTGGAGCCTGAGATGATGTAAGGCAGATTGACTATTATAGCTAACTAGCATGTGCTCACAAAGCGTGAATGGTGCACATGGTGCTCATAAGTGAGGAAGAGTCTTCAAAGCCTACATAGCATGCAGCCAAATCCTACCTTTGATACTCACCAATGATAATACATACAGAGAGCTACTATGAGCAGTACAATAGAGCTCATACTGGGCTCTGAACATAAATATCAGGATTTTGCATCCTTCACAATGTGTTTGTTGAATCTCTGATCGTAATATATGACAATTTGTATGTCAACTATCTCAATAGTGTTTGTGTGAAAAAGAGAAATAAAGAGAAACCTTTTATTCGGTGCTGCGTACCATGCAGATGACCGTCATTTCCTTCATATCTTAAATGGAGCTTCCTTTTTAAAGTTTCTGTTTTTCCATGGCTTCAGCAAAGACTTCTCTCAGGGCTTTTGTTATCCTTCAGTAGCTAGCGTGAGGAGACGTGACCTGCCACTGCAGAGTTATTAATGTTTGCGCCGCAGCTTCACTGTTGTTAATGTGTGAATGACCTCTCATCAACATCATCAACGTTTCAGAAATTCACACCTTTGCTTAATCATGTCATGTGAATTGTTTTGTTTTGCGACACTTCGGGTGAACAGTCAATCAAACCAGTTGCCCAATTTTTTCATGATCTGTTGGAGCAGTTTTGTTCGTTTGTGACGCACTGCCTCCTTACAGTGTTGACCGAGCTGTTTGCATATATATATATGGAGGTGTATCCTTAAATTTGGCTTTGTATCTTCTCTAGAGAATAGAATCCTGCTCAGACCTACGGTTGATTAACATGCGTTCTCTTTGTTGCTTCCCTTTACCCAGCCCGACACAGCCATTTACCTTCATTATGTTCATCTTTTTTCTTATTTTAAAGACAAATATCCCAGAATTGTAATGCCCATGTGGATTAAACTAGTTAAACTGCTTCTAGCTCCACTGAAATGCATTAAAATGGAATACATAATTTTCTATTTTTTTCTAGCGACCTGAGCTGAAATGCAGCTGTATCAGGGGTCGATGACACCAAGGGTCAGCCAGCTAGACAGAGAGCAACAGAGGAGCTGCTCTCTACATTTTTAGTTTAGCACTGGGACATTTGAGACTGATTGCAAGTGACAAGCTAATGACTGTGGTCAGCGGGGGCTCGGCGAGCCAGCCAACACAATCCACAAACGACACATGTAAAGAGCAAGTCTTTCACTCATCTGCTCCCCCTGTCTTCACCCACTCTTAGTGGGTTTGTTGCTGCTTGCCAGATGAAAATGCACACTCAGCTCAGGCACAATTAATTCACCTCTTTCACCCATCTAACCAGAGAACCACTCTTCCAGCGCACGCCGTTATTTTTTCCTCCTTTTTCTTCTCGCTAACAAAGTCCCAAGGGAGCTAAAGTCTATTTGTTTGCCCCCCCAGCACCCAGGTCTTTCCATCTCTCTTGACAGTTGCTTGCCTGGATATGTTGAGAAGGTAACATTAGTACCCTAAAGCCATTTGCCATTTTTCTGTCTTTGGTGGGCTACTTCATTCGGTCCCTGTGAAAACAGAATTGACTTTTCTGTTGTTGCCGCAGCCCGTTGTGCCGCTGGTTCTCTGGCTTTCTGGTGTGCTCTCAGCTTCTGCAGATTATGTCGACGACACTCAAGGCCAGTGGGGAATTCTGGGCTGTTGCTGTTGGGCACGACAAGAGAGGCTGTATTTCCTGCCAGTTGCTGGACTCTAATCTGACAGAGACATTTTCTGTTCAGCACTTCTATAGGACTCATTAGAGGGCCCTTTACTCGCCTGTTCGGGCCGCCACTTTTGGACAGGAGTGTGCGCTCGGGTGGATGTGTGTGTGTGTGTGTGTGTGTGTGTGCACCCTTGAGCGTGTGTATATCCGGTGCTTTTAAGTGTCTGACTTTCACCTATTCCCGCTCACTGAAGCGTTAGAGGATTCATATGTGTGCAATAGAGGGGCCATAAACTCTCAACTACTCTCAGATGAGTGATATAAGCCTGTAGGATAGCGCGCATCCCCAACTGTGTGAGAGCTCCACCTGCTGGCTCAGCTCCAGTCATTCTGTCCTCACCTGACCAAGGGATGAGGCGCCCGTCAAAGCCCGAGCCTATTAGCTTCTTAGAGCCATCTGCTGCTATTTCTAGATTGATGTGTGTGACTGAGTATTAATGAGTCTGCAGAGATCCACGTCCATCGGAGGCTCTATTTACAAAAGCACTGTATGAGTGGGGGGTGGTATTGATATTTCATTATGACTCTAATAAAGGGCAGCCAGTATTGAGTTTTCATTAATAGGGCTGGTTCGGTGCAGATTAACACGTCTGTGCACCTCATAATGACTCGGAGAGATGCTGAACGACTCCAGCCGGGTGTTTAACCGGCCTCCACGCACGGACCGAGCCACCGATCAACTACATCCTTTTACTCTAAAAAAGAATGGGAGGAAGATTAAGGGATATAGAAATACTGGGAGAGTCAGGTGGGGGGCGGTGGGGGCGAAGAACACTGAGGAACTGAGATGTGATAACAAAGATATAAAGAGATCAAAAGAAGCACACGAGGTGCATTACCAAAGAACATGATGAACCAAAGAGCATAAAAAAAGTGCACGACTTACAAAAGCATTAAAACAGAATCTGCTGTTTGAGTCTACTTACTAAGCACAAAGAATGACTTCTCTGGTTGGATTTGTTATTTGTTTTTTTATGTTACTTCAGACAATGAATATGTAATAGCTAGCATAGCCACAAATATACATGAGGCCATCATTAGAATAAATTATAGATGTTCAGCTAGCAGCAGGTTGTGTGCGCAGTGGCGAGTGGCCCGTCCTTGACATCCATTCTCTCCCACTCTCTTTCGTTAACACAATGGAATCCTCAGCCAAATGGATTAATTTGAAATGAAAGAAGCCACAAAGTAGAGAGGCTAACTTGCAGCCGGGGTGGAAACGCACACACACTGAAACAGAAGCGACCTCATCAGAGTGCAGAGTCTGGGGACGGGGTGAACTTTCAGCACCATGGACAGCGGCTCTGGGATGTGGAGGCCTTTCTTCTGCCTCTTCGGTTCGATGTCTTTTCATTCTGTTTTGTTTTGTTTGTTTGCTATTCCACAATGTTGATTTTCTTTTCTTTTTTTGCTTTTTGGCATTGACGCTGTTCATTTCCAGCCCCGTTCCCCCCGGGAGAAGTCCCCTCTGACTGTAACGGGTCTAAATAAGGCCCGTTCACCTCCCCGTATTATCCGCAGCACTGTGGCGCATCCCAAAGTGGCAGCGCCTTCATTAAAATGAGTGATGATCCAAGTTAGCTCCCACAGCAGCCAGCTAGCACTTTCAGGCAATAATGGATGTGCCTTTTACCCATGCAACTTTCCTCTCTGCAGTTTTTGTGTGTGTTTATGCTCAGAGTTGTCCAATGTCTTATATTGAGCGGGGGAAGTTTTCTAATGGACTCCAGTTACAGAGTTGTTCCATTGGATGGTTAGCTCTGAATAAAGCAAATATGTTTATGCAATGCAAAGCTAGGAGTCTGAGCAACTGTGTGTCATAACCTTTAAATGTATTTTGTTTTCCTGATGTCATTGTCACCTACAAAGGAATTTACTTGTTGATTTGAATCCCGGCTCTGAATCTGTTTCGTAACATTGTTTCTCTGTTTCATTCTTGTGCTTACAGAAAGTGTCCCAGTACACAATCATTGTCCAGGCCACAGACATGGAAGGTAACCTGAACTTTGGACTCTCCAACACAGCCACAGCCCTCATCTCTATTACAGATATCAACGATAATCCCCCTGAACTTACAGCCGGGACGGTGAGTCTTAAGCCGTCTGTTTCTTTTTTATCCTTTTTTTACCACCTTGAAAAATTTTTCTTTCACTCCCTAGCTTTAATGCTGACTCTATTGCATCAAAGATTCTGGGTAATGAATGTGCATTTTCATCCTTTGTGTACATTATCTTTTCTTTGTATTTCAACGGGTTACATAAAATTTGATAAACCATCACAACACTACAATGAAATGCAAAAACAAAAAAATGAGTTAAGAGTGGGCATATAATTAGCAGACAAAGAAACACTATGTGAAACATGTGGAGGGCTTTGAAAAGGTGCTGATGAAGATCCATTTTCTCCTCCCTTTGGCTGCTGTGCTTTCTTACTCAGCTGGGCTTTGTCTGGAGCATTTGGCTTGAGTCCCTGATACCTCCACACTGCTCTGACAGCACATCGCCTTACAGCTGGTCTATTCTCCTACAGCACTGTGTGTACGTGGAATGTTTTCGCGTTTCAAAGAGTGACAATTACTACATGAAAGGTTTTCCGAGGCACTTTCACAGTGTGTGCACGTCCGCCTTCTGTACATCTCCCTCTCTCTAAATCCCACTTCTTTATTCTAGTTGCAAAGCGTCACTGAATGCTGACCACCATCTTATAGACCGATTCTGAATAGGCTGTGTGAGCCATACTTGTGAGATTCAAAGATAGACATGTGTTGCTGGCAGAAAAGCGAGCTTGGTGTTGCTGTGATCCCCACCTAGCAGGGCCCTCATCCACCCGCGTGCTCCGATAAGAGCCGTCCAGCTGTGTGAGGGAGAGCTCAACAAGCAGGCGTGCTGGTCCCCTCAGAGCTGGTTCTCGTCTTTGTCTGTGACGCCGGGCGTTCGCTGAGGAGTGTTTCTGGGCTGGAGTCTCACCATGGGCCAGATCCTTTAATGCCGGCGTATTGCTGCTTCAGTAGCCACACGTGAACACTTATTAAATACGCCATGTGGAACAGTACCGAAATAGTTTGAGGACCAAGGAAGGAGGACAAAGCTATAAACTGCGTCTTTGCCTTTCTATCCGACTCAGTTAGTGTGGAAACATGTTTTACCAACACTTTGGTAAATTTGGCCCACTGCTTCTTAGTGGGCGAGTCAAATATGCTAACGCACAAAATTGAATAAAAGTGTTTTCTTGTTGTGTGCTCTTCCACGACTTCCTCAATCCTTACTACTTGGTTTGCTTCCCACACAAACATTGAGACTTAGGCAATAATTTATTTGTGCATGACAGATGCAAAAAGAAATTATTGCTATGGGGGGGGGGGGGTATAGAGAAAACAAAAGCATGTTAATTAAGTGAAATTGCTTGTGGGGGTGTAGACCCAGCTGATATATTGCATCTATATCTATATATTACATCAAAGAGAATGATTTTTTTCACGTCTCCACATGGGCCTCCACCATGTTTGTCATGGACTGATACGGAAAAACTCTCTTCCTGACACTTTGAGCCTAATCAAAGAAGATCAAATGCATGACGGCTTCTTACCATGTGTCACAGTTAAACAAAGTAATGACGGTGAGCGGCAGAGATGTTGTTAAAAGGACAAAAAAGGCACACAAGCTGGAACTCTTGACTGATTCATACATTGAGCTGCAGCTCCTGAAACCACTGAAAGGGTCCTCTTGCTTTGGCTTTCAGTGGTCTTTCAAAAAGAGAAGCGACAGGTTTTATACTCTTAATAATAAAAAGTAAGTGACATTAGAGACCAGTAGCTATGTCCTCATCAAAACCTTTATAAAATATTACACTGGACAGGTGTCAGTATGATATTATTTATTATGCCATGTTGCTCTTATAATTTTATGAAAGAAAGGAAGAACTCTTTATCCTTGATGAGCTCTTCAAAATATTTTCATTTACTTTGTCAGCTGTGGTGTAATGCCTGTAGCAGATTTGCTCTGTTGTGTCCACCACCTTGAAAGAGTTGTGCAGGAATGTAGCTCCACTTATGTCACTGATGAGCAAGCTGCTTAAAAAAACGTGTTTTAAAATGAAAGAAAATCCCTTTGATGTAGCTGGAGTAAAAGTAATTTCTGTGCTTTTGGTTGATTTGGTCTTTAATAGCCCAAGATACGCCTGTGCTTATATTTCACATAAGAAAAAACATGCTCAAAAGATTCTTTAAGTTCTTTAAAGCAACCCTGTGGGAAATTCAAAATTGAAAAAAAGCAGATTAAATAAGACTAAGAAAGTTATCGTCAATTGTGAGTCTAATAAAAGTATATGTTGCTTAACTGTGAGGTGGGGAGCCTTGTCTTCCAGCTTGATCCTTCTGGTGCCTTTGTGCGTGTTGTTGCATGTTTTATTGAGTTTTCCCTAGGTGTGATACTTTTCTCCAACAGATTGCATTTCAGAGAGGATGGTTGTGACTCTGTTGTGTTGAAACAAGTCCAATAAGCCATGTATTTCCCCCAAGAAACATCTGGCAATGATTCTGTCCCATGTTAAAATAAAGCAAATATAGAAAATGGATTGATAGCATAAGATGCTTATTTACATACAAACAAATGTTTTTAATTTGATCCTCATCAGAACTTTTTTTTAACCTTATTTGGCCAAACAAGTTCAATCTGTTTCCCTAAAATAGTCCCCAAAGAATGTTTCAGGTCTATATTGGGAAATAGAGGAAGTTTGCATATACTTTGTATCTCTTTGACACCTGAGTCACTAACACAAAAAAATTATTTAGCAGTCACAGATTATGATATATTAATTTATTTCCTTAGAGCTACAGAATCCTTCTGAAAACATTTCTTTAGTGTCTTATCAATGGGTCCATATTGCATTTGAGAGAGAAGCCATTTTGGAGGCTCTCTCCTGTTCAGTCAGTGCCCTTGTGTTCAACTCGGTGGGAGCAAATTCCATTTGGAGCAAGCTCGGAAGGTTTGTGGTGGCGTTTATGCTAAAGCTCGTGGTAAAAAATGAAATGGATGAGCCTGAACACAGAGGGCTGTGAGCGCCTATTTAATTTGTTGTGCGCTTATCAGGCCGGCAGGGAGACAGGACAGGAGGCAAAGATGGGGAGGGGGGAGGGAGGAGAAGAGGGGAATCGGATGTTTTGGACGCTGCTTCAATCCCACAAGGATGAAGACATTAAAGTGGACAACAGCTGGCAGACACACACCATAAACAAGCTAATGCCTCACAAGTGGAGACACGGATTATCATGGGGCAGGGAGAGTTTTACCCCATGTGTGTGGATGTGTGTGTGTGTGTGAGTGTGTGTCAGAGAAAGAGAGTGAGGTCCTATATAAGTGCCCATCCCTCAGTAGCCAGATAAATCCCTATAGAGAGGGACATGTATCCCATTGTGCTGTGAATTCCTCTCCAGGCTCTGCAGCTGTCTTCAAGTTTCCTCCTGAGTTAGTTCATCAGGGAGTTGTTTCAGATTGCAATATAATGAAGATCATTAGCCAAAGATTATTCCTACTGCTGCCTTAATTACAATATTTATCTAATTACTTATTAAGACCTGGATTTGGTTAATGCGCACAATCTAAATGAAACGGGTAAACGCTTAATTGAAAACTCCATTTGTTCAAATAAAGGCCCCTCATATGAGCAGATACTGTGTGGAATGAGGAAGTGCATTAACATAATGGAAGATATGATTTTCTATTATCCACATCTGAGCAAATAATGTCTCTTGTCTATTTTTTTCTTTCTCTCCTATCTTTCTAATTTGTTTTGCTACCACTTTGAGTTCATGCTTCAGAGCAAGGGAGCATTATTGGCATGACCCTAAACACATTTTGTTTTCATAACAACAATTATGCAAACTCCCCAAAAAGATGGATGATAGCGCAAACGGATGCATAAAATTGCAATAAATCAGGTTATTATCAGGCATTAGTTGACTTCTGGGGCAACATCATCATAATATTGCGTCTCACGCTCGTTCTCTGCTCTCCTCTTCCCTCCCTCCCTCCCTCCTCTTCCTCCTGTCTGCCTCCTCGTGCAGTTTACTGGGGAGGTCCCGGAGAACAAGGTGAATGTGGTGGTGACCAACCTGACAGTGGTGGACAGAGATCAGCCCCACAGCCCCAACTGGAATGCAGTCTACCGCATAGTGAACGGAGACCTCACTGGATCTTTCACAGTCCGCACCAACCCCATCACAAACGAGGGCATGGTCACAGTGGTCAAGGTAAGCACGAATTTGGCATCTCTGACAATCCTAGGTGGACTATGTGTGTAATGTATGGTGTTTTCACTGTCCGAGCACTCAGCTTTCAGTCGCGTTTTCTCTCTTTTCCCCCCCTTGGTTTCTCCTCCAGCCGGTGGATTTTGAGTTGAACCGGTCCTTCGTGCTGACCGTGGTCGTGTCCAACCAAGCCCACCTGGCCAGCGGCATCCAGTCCTCGCTCCAGTCCACGGCGGGAGTCACCATCTCGGTCCAGGACGTGAACGAGCCGCCCGTCTTCCCGGTCAACCCCAAGATGATCCGCTTCGAGGAGGGGGTGCCGGCCGGGACCACTCTGACGGTGTTCGCTGCCCAAGACCCTGACCACTTCATTCATCAGACTGTCAGGTGAGGCTTTGATCAAATTCTGTAAAAAATGAGTCAGTGAAAGTGTTAAGCATTAAAAAAAAAAGCAAATCTTTTCACAGGATTCTAATCAGATGAGTAGGTGTCTCTGAATTGTCAGCATATATCAGCGCTGGGGGCGTTTTTTCCACAATTTATGCCTCTTCTGTGACATTCTCAACCTATCCCCCGCCTACATCGCTCTTACTTCCCCCCCCCGTTGCCAGGCAACCGGTGCGAAGAGGTCATCCGTAATGAGTTGGACGCAATCTGTCTGCCCTCCCTGTATCCCTATCTTCCTCCTCATTGATCCCGGCGCTCCTAACGGGGACGACACAGCGCCATCCCGCCATCGACCCCCGCGTGACAGAAACTCACACGTGCCCTCCGAGGTCCAGCAAGCAGCGTTCCACTCCATTGGCTCGCTCCAACGAGGGAGAGATAGATTTTTTCTTAATGTCAGTCAGGCAGCTTCCACCGAGAAAACCGAGTGGAAATGTTACTGAATTGATAGCAGAGAAGAGGGCGGTGGGAGATGGGCTTCTAACAACTGCACAGAAGGGGAGAGCAGTATCCACTTTTTAGGTTTGCACTTCTAAAAAAAAGTTCTGCGCTCCATGTGGGCAGTTCCCCCCCCCCCCCCCCCCCCGGCCTTTTCAAAGAAGCAGAACCTCCTTTATACTGAAACTCCCTCTCCTCTCCGCCCCTCCTTTTCCTTCCCAATTGCTCCCGCTGACCTCGTCACTTTCATCCCTGTCAGAGTGTGTGTCTTTTATTGATGGGGCGCTCAGATCTGCCGTCTCCTCTGAAGCAGCTTGCCAGCAGACGCTCCGCTCACGGCAGCCTTGTCTCTACTCCTGTATTTCCCCGTAGGCAACCTCTCTCTTGAACCCCGCGCACTATATCCGCAAAAGACACTGAAAACGCACAGACGTGTAACACGTTTGCGTGCGCGCCGGGACCGCCGAGCGTGACTGAAAAGCGGCAGATGGGAGAGGAGCCAACTTGGATTTTTCACGTCTCTGAATTTTTCTTGCCTTTCCCCCCCCCCCCCCCCCTTCTCTGGAGGAAACAGAGAACAAGGCAAACGCGAGGCCGAGCTCTTTTTCGCTGCTTGATGTGATTTAAATGGCAGTGAGGCCAAATATCTGCATGTTTATATATGTGTGTGTGTGTGTGTGTGTGCTCGCGTTCTTTGTTTTTCGTTTTTTTTACTGTAGGCCTTTCGTTGGTTCAGGGGGGATTATGACGCAAGCTCTTGCTGGTTTGTTTATAAAGATTTTAAGTTGAAATTTTGTGAGATCAAAAGTGTTCTCCGGCACTTTTACAAAGATAGAGAGTCTGCAGAGAGAGGTTAGATTTAAAAAATTGATCACAGATTTTAGCAGCTGAGGTGGAGATTTGAAAATTTCCTCTCCCAAACTCAGCGGTACGTGACTAGAGGCTTCTCATGAATGCGAGAGCTATGTGAGGCTGAGATGCTGCAGCTTATCAAAGCTTTTCCTGTGCAAATCTCAGACATGTGAGAAGACTAACAGAGGATTGTTTTCACTGGCACCTTTGCCAAAATAAAAGTGTCATATAAAAGTCAGAAAAGTTATTTCGATACAATAGGAAAAGTCACGTGAATATGTTAAAATCTACTTTTTTATTTCAACAAAAAAGGTTTTTATGATCCAAAACTGAATCTGAGGGTTGAATGTTATGCTTTTATGGAAAAAAAAGGAAAACATTTTGCTCCACTGGCTGCAAATGAATACAGCAGGGGGTGACATCCTGTTGGCACAGGAAGGAGAAGAGAGTGCCAGGCCACACAAACACCGGCCCCTCACCTGCCGGGCGCCATCAGACCCTCACCAGCACAGCGTGACAGGCTCTTTCACTCCAAATTGTATTTGTCGTCATCTCTTTGGCTGAACTGTGAAGATACAGAATGGCATTGGGTGTTCATGTCTGTTATATCCTGCTTTTGGTATTAGAACAGCTTTTTCTTTTTAAATCTGTAGCTGGAGGTCAGATTTATTTTCTGAATTTGACTATTGTCAGCCTCCATTGTCCTCCTTTAATCACCCTCGTCACATTCTACTGACCGTGTTTACAAAGAAACACTGATCACTGATCTCTACTGGCTTTTTTTTCTTTTCTCTTGTCTCTTATCTCTCGTCATGACTTTGACACAGCAAGCCTCCGGTGAGGGTTCTCGTCCATTTTCTCATTAGAGCTGCTGCGGGCTCGCTCCTCTTGGTCAGCTGTTGAGAGTTCTCATGTGTGCTAATGAGATTCACAGACTTTACAAAGCTTTGAAAATGTTTCAAATAATAATGACAAAAAGAGTCCCCAGCGCAGGCGTGTGGGTACAAAGAACAGTGAAGTTTCTTAAAGGCTCTCGGTCATTCCTCACATGGACGCAGGTTTTTCTTCATGCTAATGATCCACCGCTGTCAAAAGCTCGGCGAACATATGTTCCGCTCTCCATGTCGCCCTGATATTTCAGAGGTGCTCGGCTGCTGTCGCCGGTTATGGTAATGAGCATTCAACCTGATAATGGCCACTTTGGATCAACAAATAAAAGACCCAGAGATGCCAGTTTGTAAGGAAGAGCAAATAACACCTGTGCATGTTTTACAACACTATGAAATGAGCTGATCCTCTCATTTCTGCCCCTTGGATTTCCATGTGTGCAGGTACTCCAAACTGTCAGACCCGGCTAACTGGCTGAAGATAAACAGAACCAATGGGCAGATCACCACCATGGCCATGCTGGACAGAGAGTCCATATATGTCAAAAACAACATGTACGAAGCCACGTTCCTGGCATACGACAATGGTAAGTCTGGTAAGTCCTGGATGATTGTGTATGTTGTGATGATCTGTCATCAACACCAGAATGCACACAGCATGATAGTGGCATGTTTTCACTGTGCACTTACTGTGAGTCCCAAACTGTGTGACTGAGATTGATCAGATATTACTAAACAGTATCTATGGAAATGTGGTACCCCCTCCCCAATATGCCTCCTCCCATTGTCTGAGGTTAGCGTGTTTGCCTTAGTGCTATTATGAGGGTGGTATGAAATGTCAGTTTTAGTTCTCATTGAGATGAGTCATTACTATTTCAGTAAGTGTGCAGTCAACCCTAACCTTAAATATTTGAGAGGCCCACAATCAGTCGCTACATACAGACAGGAAGCCATGATTCAAACCCCTCCTAGTTCATTTCATCTAAAAGGCCGGGGGGAGCTTTTAGATCTGAGAAGGATGTGAAGCCCTTTGTTCCGAGACGCTTGATTTCGCTTCTGAGATAAATCCACACAAAAAATTGAAATGGGAAAAGCAGGAGAAGCCTCGGGACAAGAGAGGTTCAAAACAGGCTGGTTTCTTTGGGACGTGAAAGCGGTGTATAATATGTACACACACTATATACAATGAGCATCTCACCCCACATATGCCCATCACCTTAGTAGTTAAGGAACTCTGAGAATTCTAACAGAGGAATGGGTTGGGAGATAGGGAGTTCTGGCTCAGCCTTGATTTGAGCATTTCAAAGTACACGGCAGACTAAAAATAGTAAGAAAATAGCCTGAAAAGCTGATTAATGTACAGTTGTGTCCCTTCACTTTGATGTCATCGATTAAAGAAGTCTGCAGTTGAGTTGAAGCGTGGCATTAAGATGTAAATAATGTGGCTGTAAACCCAAAAAACAGGTCAGCCCCAACCGTAAAAACAAACGACTGATTCATCATAGAGCGAGCAGGAGCAGTTTTTAGAAGTAAAGAACACACCGTTGTGCTCAGCAGCATGAATAGGCCCCGATGTCTTCGGGTTACTGCATTGCTGGAGGATCACAGGATCTTTCAAAAGATTCAACAAAGTGTAGAGCTCACCCAGGCAGTAAACATATCATTATCCAACACCACCAGAAAGGAAAAGACCTCAAAGTGCAGTATTTTATTGCAGAACACTTGTGGAATCGTTTTCATCGGGTAAGCCTTAGCCAGAATGATGAGGAAAAAAAGAAAACACGGAAAGCTTTGAAAGGCTCATTCCAGCTGAAACAGGAGCTGTAAAACAGGTGGAGGCAGAGCAAAGGCAGGAGCGGGAATCCTCACCAAAGGCCCCGAGTGGCCAGCGTTGGTGGATAATGTGGCTGACGTCAGGAGTCAGTGGACAGTAAACAGATTCAGACAAATGCAACACTCCAGATTACCCAGGAGTTTTTTGCAGATGAACATATCTCGTATCTTGCAAAGTTCAAGTCAGTGATCTAAACTCAACCTGACAAAAACACCTTTTTATTTTTTAATGGCAAAAACTAAAAGCAGGAAGACCAAAAACAAACAAAAAAACTAAACATCTAAAGACAGCAGGAGAAAAAGGCTTGTCAAAGAACCACGGAAAGGAAATCTGCTCTTTGGTGATGCACACACAGTTTAAATTGTTTAAATTGTGAATAACTAAAACGGTTTAGTGCATATACATCTCTGCTCAGTACATATGAAACTCCACCAAACTTTGTAACCCTGTCTCAGATTGAAAAAAATATATATTTTCACCGGAGATCCTGAATATCAACCACGGCTGCGACAATAATTCACCAGATAAATAACAGAAGCTCCACAGATAGAGGGATGAGTAGGAGGGTACCCAGGTGTTTTTTACTCCACTGAGGAATGAGGGACTGGTCACCCTGAAGCACGCCAACTCCAGCTCAAAGTGTTGACTGCCCATTGATTGTCGATACAAGTGTCAACAAGGGGGATATATTCTAGTTTGATTGAAATTCTCTTCACTTATTCTACTCGAGCGAGGCGTACGCAGAGGCAACAAAGCACCCGGCCAATCAGAACCGACAGGACGGTCGATGGGCCTTGGGCCCGGGGCAGCGGACCTTTACGTAGTTGATACTCCGAGTTACTGTATGCCATCCGTGCTGTATGTTGAAATACAGCGCTGATGGGCTGCCGGGGTAAACTGGGTCTGTTCTGCGCCGCATCGGTAATTTAGATCAGCCCGCTGACGGTCCGTGTGCAGGGAAGCTGTCAGCGGAGCATCAAGGCCACAATAAATCACTGTTTGTTCAACGGTGCAGCGCAAACAGGGCCCGCTTTCTTCATCCGCTCTTCGGGGTTGAAGCGGTGTTATCATCGGAGCTGAGCATCACTCAGTTTTATTCTTTAATTTAACGCTTCGCATTGGACCGGGACACTAAAGCGTCATCTGCCAAGTAGGAAACAGTTGCTGCTGTGCGGTGTGGTTTGAATATTGTTTATCTGGTTATTACTGTCTCTGTTCTTTAGGGCATTGTCCCAATTGTGGACGCATTTTGAGACGAAAAGCACAATTGAGTCATTACTAGATGCTTACAAATTCACAATTTAAATGTACATTTTTTTTAAATATTGCTGTTTTTTAGTTTTCAAATAATGTTAATTTGTATATGAGAAATAATTCAATTTAATTTAGGAATAAGCGGTTACAATAATGGATTGATGGATGGATGGATGGATGAATTTACGCATCATTGAATTCTGATTTTTCTATTTTTTTCTGTTTTCTGTTTTTTCTATTGTTCCAAGTTGGGAACAAAAAGCTTGTAAACTAGTTTCTTTTTCTTTGTATTTTCAGTGTGAATGTAAACTGTTTCCCCCCATGGTGAAGTGCAGAATTGTTTCGTGCCAGGTTTGAAGGTGGAAACAGTTGAATTAGAATCAGACTGTTGAACAAATGGAACACAAACAGCAGCTGGAAAAAACTACACTGAGTTAAAAAAGCTATTTTAAAGCGGTTTCTGCGGTTCTAAAACATTAATGACTGTATATGTGGGTTGGTTCTGGTCTGGCCCGACAACGGGGGGAAACCTGGAAAAGTTCTGACGGCGCGCTTGTAGTGAAAGGTTGGCGTTTGACTCATTTCCCGGGGGGGGGGGGCTTTGCAGAGTAACTGGAATCTGTATGTGAGCGTTGTCCTCTCCAATATCAGTCTGAATGAGTCACTGTTTGTATATTTGCTCATTCTATGTCTGTGTGTGTGTGTGTGCTCTGCTACAACTGTGTACGCAGTAGTTCCTCCATTTTCAACCACAGAGTAAACAAAACCTTTTTTGCTCCTTTGTTTCTTTGTTTGTGCGTCTCATTTTCTCTCCGTTTCGCACGACTCAGCTACAAGTCCGTAGATGAAAAAAAAAACAATTGCCCTCCTCTGTAGCTCCCTCATCACCCCGGCCTTCTTTTTGCTTCTTTTTTCATATCCAATCAATTCATCCAGCCACAGCGCTGGATTTCTGATTGCGCGTGGTGCCTTTTGATCTTTTTGCTTCCTCTCCGATCGCTCGTCTTCCTCCAGGTTCTCCCCAGGCCAGCGGGACGGGCACCCTGCAGATCTACCTGATCGACGTGAACGACAACGCGCCGGTGCTGGTGCCCAGGGAGGCGCAGGTGTGCGAGCGCGCGCGCCCCAACTCCAGGATCAACATCACGGCCTCGGACGCCGACGCCGACCCCAACATTGGGCCCTTCGTCTTCGAGCTGCCCTCTTTCCCCACCAGCGTCCGTCGCAACTGGACCATATCCAGGCTGAACGGTAATTAATTAAAGGCCCCACTCCGTGTTTAGGACAGTCAAGCTGTCAGCAAACGGATGCAAATTTCAGGAGGTATTAAAGAATGAGAGATGACCGCTCTTGCGTCTCTGGGGGGGATTTAAGCGTAAACTTGATGAGTCAGCAGAATCAGGCGGCATTAATCTCCGGAACAGGGGGCTACACGGGGGAAAGTCAGAGTTTAAGAAAATATCTCGGAAAAGCTCGCGGTGAGAAAAAAACGCGGGGGCCATCCGGCGCCGACACGCCATTTGTCGTTTGTGACAAATGAGATCCATTCATCTCTCCGACAAATCTGATCACAGACCCGGACCCCTTCTCCCAAAGAGCCCCCCCCGTCTTAGAATCCCCCCGTGATAGATGCTGAAGGTTACAGACTGTAGTAGTCTGGGATGTATTTTTTTTATCTTTAATACCCTCTAACATGCACGCAATGCAGTTTGTTTTGATACAGTTTGGATGTGATGTGTCACTCACCCATGCGCATAACACCGTATGGAGCGGACGTCCCGTTATGTTCATGTAATGAACGTGCTTAGGACCCAAAAGCAACCAGAGACGTACGGTC